GGTTGGCTTTCAGGATTTACTTAGCAGGTAGTGATTGCTGGCAAATATACCACCATCAAAGAATCTTCGTCTATATTAAATAGTAAAACTTTAACGAAAATTGAAAGTTTAAGCTTTAATTTCCTACTGCACAATGTTTGACATAGAGTAGTTCCACGTGATTCTGTCAACTACAGAGGGTTCATATGATTCAAACTTCTAAACTGTTCTAAGCATCTGTTTCTAAGTCACAAAACCGGATATTATGAATGCTAGCTTAGCCGATGCATATCTGCACTACGGATTACATTTCTATTTTACAAATGCAGTTAGTGTCTTCGAGGTATGTAATACCAGGGCACTACTGTACTGCCCACTTAGTTTCATCCGCCATGGTTCCCTAGGGAGGACGTGATTTAAACGGAGAAAAGAAGACACCTGGGACTTTTTCCCGTAACACAGGACAATCTTTTGATAATTCCAGTTTCTTTTACGATATTATGGAACATGTCTTTAGCTTGGTTATGCAGCTGATGAAGCATCGAGCAATCTGCTGGAGAGCATAACTTTCTTACCTCAATCAATTAATTTGTGATGATGTCATCGAGGCTTCATAAGCCTGCCGCATCCATTTATTACAGGTTACCTCAAAGTTCAAACACCTGGTCGTTAGTTCGCTGAACAATATAACATACTATACGTCGGTACTACTGCGAGGATTGGATGACACAAAACTACAGTACGGTGAAACATACTGTACGATGTATGTAGCAGCATGGTGGTAAAGTATATTACAGAATTATGAAGTATGGAACAATACTACACTGTTAGAAAAAACAATATACTCTGTGAAGTAAAACTGTACTGATATAAGATAAAGCCATAGAACATAATAAAAATAAAAACAATGAATGACTGCATCAAATAACTTATTGCTATATTACTTTATTATTACAGGTAATATGTAAAGTACATACAATTAGGATCATAATATAATTTATAGCGTAATAAATTGGGCTCAGAAAAATCACAACTGCAAAGACACACCTTTCGTTTGGGGGCTGCCACGGGCTCGGCGAACCCAAAGTATGGTAACGCTAAATTCACGAAACCGTTCTTTAGATTTGACAACTTTATTTTCCCAGCAGCAGCTACGATCTAAAAACGAAAAAATAGAGATACTCTAAGCTAGACAAGAGATTAGAGAGTGAGCACGCGGGTATAGCGTAAATCCCAAACAAAAAGCATTACATTTCTTGACATAGATGGATAATTATCATAATAATTCAGCTGCTGGTATAAATGAGCAAAAAGTACCTTGTAAAATTCAAGTACTGCCAGACCAGCGATGGCAGCAGTGGTCGTCGCAATGGCGGGGATGATGCGTCCGGCGATCTGCTTAGTCTACAATTTTCCGCTTGTAAAAATCATTCACACTTAACAGCTTTTAAAAATAGCTATCAAAAAGAAAATATAACATTAGCCAGCATTGCACCTTACTATACGCCACATTAAATTACAAGGCTACGGGTCCATTCAAAATGAACATTTAGATAACTGAGACCAACGGGGTGGTTTCTACATGGCAAACATCGATTTGGCTAACTTCACATGGATACCGTTACCACGTCACCATGCTGAAAAACTTTTCAAAACCATAAGTCTTATATATAGTAGACGTTCTAAATCTTTGCTTGGAAGTAAGAAAACGAAGAAAAAGTGTAAATTTCCAACGAGTTCAATGATCTGTCAGAACAGGCAACGGTCATCATGAGGAATTCAGAATGAGGAAAAACTGCTAGGCCAGTTGTTGCCTAAACTTACTAGTGGAATATTTGAATGCTCGAAAATGTAGCAATTAGTCGTTCTACATACCGTCGAAATGTCTCAGGATGCAACGCAACCGTTGCAAATTCTGTTTTACAGGTTTCAAGGTGAAGTGAATACTTGAGTGACTAACAGCTTCCTTCTGTCGAGGTGTTAATCGATCATCGTGATGTCACGTCGTTAAAATAATGTAGGCTCTCCGGGGCATTAGCAACAAAACCAGAATGATGAGCAGTGCGTTACAAGTGGTTGCTTTGTGTTCTGAGAGACATTTTTGTTGTCCAAACTGCAGGAAGGATCAAAGTTCTAATACAACAGTTTCCTAAGGTCTTTCCCTGCAGAGAAAAATACACTAAAACCGTATCTTCTTAAATATAGTCTGGTTTTCTCACATATAACTGGGATATATCTTATCGAGATCAGGGAACTACGATCAAAGGAGGAGAGGAGACGAAATTAGATCAGTTTAAATACAATCAATTTAATATCAGGCTTAAAAATTTAAGAAATAATTATGGAAGAAACTTGATTTTACCTCTGAGCAGTCAATCATCAGTGCAATAACTCAGAAATGTGTAACGCAAACATTCCGTGATGTTGATTAACACATGTCTAGTACTGTGACATGAAGTATTTTGATAAAAGTCATGACATGTAATAGTTCATACCCGTGTGAACTAAAACTAATTTGCGGTTGAGACCGAGTCCGTAATACAGCGGTTTTGTTTACTCCTAAACAAAAATTTCAGCAGTATAGCCCGTACCTCTCAGTTTATCCGTGACATTAAAGTAAACTGAGTCTCAGGAAGCAATGCGTTAAAAAAAACACTACTAATCCGGACTAAAAACATTAGTTTCAGAATAAATTAGTCCTTTACGGATACGGATATGAAGGATATGATGATGTTATATTTTTTACGGATATGAACGGATTATCACTCTTGAAGGTAACGATTATCAATGTGAAGGAGAATGTACAATTCGTCTCTCGTATAATAAAATGTCTAAAAACGTTATCTGCTTATTGTATTTCGTTCTTCGAAGTGAATCCCATAGGACTGTGAGGATCATCATCATTTGAACATCCATGCAGTAGGTGAAAGCGATCAGAAATATTATGCAAAATTAAAATCCAATCTGACTAATTTAAATAAAGCACAGGTATGAGGAGAGGTAAAGACAAAGTTAGGGCATAGATTCAAGATGATGCATTTCAATTTACGTCAAGAATACACCAAAATTGGACTCAATGGGATAAGGTAACACCGTCTGCATATAATTTATTTTCTGGTATCATGCTACTAATCACAACTTTGCATCCGTCGACTTTTTCTTACCCTTGGCGAACAATAGAAAGGCCATACATGGTAATCATTCAACGACGATGTTACCGTACAGCAAATGACGTCCAAAGAAGCACATATAATATTCAGAGCTAGCTGCGTTTATTTTCTGAATGACTTTGATACGATCTAATCCTAACTCGCAATCATAATTGCTTCTATTTTACAGTTCCTCCTTCCAACTTGTACTTTACCGCAACTTTAAACACATCTAACCTTCCAACAAACTGGGGCTAAGTCAAGAATAACTTTACTTATCAAAAAGGGGGAAAAAATACGGTTTGATCCATATAACAGCTGACGAGACAACTTGAGTCGAGGTATTCTCATAGTGTCCAGAAATTAACAACGGTTGCGTAACTGATGATTCCAAGCGATTGCAAACTATTTGGACAACACAGGAGTAGTGACGAGATATCGCTATTTTAAGCGGCAGCACCGAAAAAGAGCAAACTGCTACTAAATTAGAAACACCGGGGTTACTTTCATGCATATATGTCTAGGCACAGTGGCACTTCAGCAGATGTCTCAACAGATATCATTTAAACAGATGTCTTTGTTTTTCTTCAGACTTGCGCAGTCATACTGTTTTTGCACCCATGACCTACAGGCACCAAAATAACATAAAGTTTTGGCCTGCTTAAATGGTCCCCTAGGCTGCTAAAACAAACAAATGAAGTAAATATGAGAGCTGGTTAGAATGCCATTTTGCTCGGCAAAATAAAAAACAGCAAATTCTACGTATACCCTTTATATCGGGCCATTTTTCATAAGCAAATAAAGAAAAAAAATCATATTTGGTAAAGTATGTTTCTCTGGTGTTAATCCAGTTGAACAAGTCATAATGATCTTAATCACATAAGTTAACAACTGAGGGCTGAGACCAAGCTTAGTCATTTTCTAGATT